TCACACCAGTCGATCGAGCAGAATCTCTGCATTCAGAAAAATATAAATAGCTCAAAATAGCTCAATAGCTCAAAAATAGTTCAGCAGATACTCTGCAAAAAAAAAATAGCTCAAGCAGTTTGACATATGGTCAGAAAATCAGTTATGTTTCTTGAACTAACTTTAGTTCAAGTGATGTAACTGATTTTCTGACCATATGTCAAACTGTTTCAGCTATTCTATAATACCGCTAAACTGTGTACATTTGACTCTCTGGCGTGACCAATGAGAAAGCTCTGCAGAAACATCACGAGTATCATTTTCAAACTAGCTGTATCCTCAAGTTTGTACGGCAACACCCTTCTTTCTTGGTACCGTCGGATTCAGCAGATTCTCAGCTTTAAAAACATCATGCATGTTAACGAGGCATTTTGCTTCGTTCAAGAGATGTAACTGATTTTCTGATCATATCTCAAACTATTCCAGCTGTTCTAAAATACCACTAAATTGTGATCAATGACAAAGTTCTACAGGGATATCAGAGTATCATTTTCAACTACCTGTATCCTCAGGTTTGCACAGCATTTTGTACCCGTCTTCTTTGATACTATCGTTAATCGATGTTAGTTAGTTTCATAATTTGCTAATCATAATTTAAGTTGTGCCACCAAATCGGTAGCATGGTACGGATATTCATAATTATGCCTCCATATTAGCACCGGTCGGAGAAATATCACCTGCCTTACGGTTAAAAATCGTACTCCTCACGTATTCAACGTGAGCGGGCAACGAATCATGTCCACCTTAATGAGTTCTAACTCCGATAACAACTTAGCAATTCCATAAGATCGTTGGATGCATTCAAAGTAATGTTCAGCTGCGAATCGCTCATTGATTCTCACAACGTAAATTTCGATGTTCACGTTGCATTGTTCATTGAGTGTCTATACGCGGAGATTGACGGATGAATGAACGAACGACAGGATATGTGATCCACAAATCTGTACCATGGTACGGGCATTACGCGTTGATGATAATCGTTTTGGGCAGTTTTTATTCGTCTTTTCATCTGCTGAATTCCACAAACGGCAATCTGAGTTGATTACAGCCGTAACGTAAGAACCGACGGTTTTTGCTTGCTTGGAAGCTAGTGGAATTTCGCATAAATCTGAATATTTTTTTTTCTGTTTTTAGCTTGATTTACAAATTCCATTCAGTCATATTCATAGTGCTTTTTGAACACACACACACACGCGATCATTGAAATACTTTTTTATTGCTGTCAACTTATTAATAAATAGTTTCGGAGCCAATTGCGAGCTTTTTGCGATTGGTTACGTTTTGTGGGCACTGGTTTGATTCAGAGCATGCGTGAAGTATTGCTGGTCTTGTGGATGTGTTGTTTGCGAGTTTACTCAGTGTTTTGTTTTCAGGAGAACGTCGTTGATGCAACGAAATTCTTCTTCTGTTGTTAAAGTTGTTGTTTGTTTAGACGGGTGAAGTTGTTGTTTGTGTGTGTGTGTTCATTTCGGAATTTTATTTGCAACTTCATCAGTAACCTCAATAATCATCCAACCTACCAACCGAGCAGCAACAACAACACCAAGAATAACTTAACTTCTGTTCATTTGAATATTTTTATCGACTGATCCAAAAGACAAGTGGCAAGTATGTCTAATGAAATCAAAACCACTTATTTGGGTGTGTCACAACCGATATCTATACAACCACCCGATGAAGAGGATCTTGTGCTCACAAAAAAGGTTACTGCTTGTTATTTTCATTAGAATTTTGTTTTTGCTTAGGTTCATTCATCCGAATTGTTTCCTGATGTGCAATCGTCTTATTGAAATTGGCCATCCTTCTTCAAATCGTTAACAGGTTTAGTATAAGAGGTGAAGTTGAATTGCGCTATAAAATCAGTTTCGTCGAAAGATTTGACGGCTGTGTTAATAATGAGTGACGAATTTTAGTTGAAAGAGTGCCTTGAGTCGTATGGTTATTTTGAGACCGAGGCTGAGATGCAGCTACGACTTGAGGTACTTGGAAGTATCAATTCGTTGGTGAAGCGATGGGTACGACACGTCTCCGAAGTCAAGGTTTGTTTTATTGTCTTGATTTACTGCGTGCGTAATATTGCTTCACAGTCTTGGTTTCGTATAAAATTAATGCAGAAATGATTTTTTATATGTTACGGTTTTTCCCAGCTCGTACTTCTCTGTTGGTTTTTATTATATGAATTCGATTTTCAGCAAATGCCCGCAAATGAGATTGAAACCGTCGGCGGAAAGTTGTTCACGTTTGGCTCGTACCGACTTGGTGTACATACACGAGGCAATCGAGATTTCATTTTAATCAGTTCCCCTTATGAACATTAATTCATCGTTGTCATGACTGTTCTGAATCATCTCAAACAGAAATAGTAACAATAAGGAAGTTGTCTCATAGTGTGTATGTTCCAAAATGATTTGGTAATGGTGACTTTTAAGGAGCTGATATTGACTCGTTATGCGCTGCACCACGACATGTCGATCGATCGGACTTTTTCACGTCCTTCTATGAAATGTTAAAGGAGGTGAGATGTTTTAATTTTACCTAATTATTGTTCCTTTCTCGTTTCTCGTTTCAATTCCTAAGTGTATGCATTATCAACACCGAAAAAGTTCTGCATCTTCGGTGAGTGAATGAGTTGATTGTGTTTGGCATGTTGAATGAATATTTGAATTGCTGAATGATTGAAGGATCCGAACACAACCGATCTTCGTCAAGTGCAAGATGCATTTGTGCCGGTAATAAAGTTGAAATATCGTGGCATCGAATTGGATATTTTGTTTGCGCGACTTGCGTTAACCAAAGTACCTGACGATCAGCAACTGAACGATGATAGTATCCTGAAGAATTTGGACGAGAAAAGCGTTCGATCATTGAATGGTATATAAGTCTGAATGAATTTGCAACTTTTACGTTTGTTTTTGACATTCAGTAGGATACAATGCAGGAATGTGCGGTTCGGGAATGTGTTCGTTTCGTGTTTTATAAAACGGGATGTTGTTGTTTCAGGATGTCGAGTGGCTAATGAAATCCTTCGATTGGTACCAAATATAGATGCATTCACTTATACTCTACGAGCTGTTAAACTTTGGGCAAAAAGTTGGTAGTGATACATTTATTTGATAACGTTTATTGATATTTTTTGGTTTACGAATCATTCAGCTTTCTCATAAATTATACACAGTAATATGGACAGAGATAATTATCCAGCTTTGAATCTATGCACTAGATTCCATTCCGTGTAAGCATAGTGACGGTTAGCACTGTTCGACTGGTCTGAAGTAATTTCATTCAGATCACGGTATCTATTCGAACGTGCTCGGGTTTTTGGGTGGCGTATCGTGGGCGATCTTAGTGGCACGAACTTGTCAGCTCTATCCGAATGCAGCACCTGCGAAACTTGTGCAGAAATTCTTCCTTGTCTTTACTCGATGGTCAGTTGATCAATTCATGAACACTGATCAGTTTGTCTGTCAGATATTCTGTTTTTGAACGAATGTAATTGCAGACTTTATTAGAGAGAGCAAGACCGAGAGTGCAGATATTATGAAATTGTGATTTTTTGAGTGTTTATTGAATGTTGAGGCATTTTGAGTGATGGAAGCTGAATATTCAGGGAATGGCCACATCCTGTGTTGCTGAAAGACTGTGATCAAACGCCGCGTCCGCCCGATATGCAATTCCAGGAAATGGTCTGGGATCCGAGAACACGCTCTTGCGATCGGTACGTCGTGCATTGGCTATTTCATTTTGGCTATGAGTTTTCAGTTCGATCTTTTTGTGCATGACTTAATTTGCTCTTAAGTGTGTGGATTGATGAGATTAGAGTGTGAGCGAAAAATTCGTTTCTCATCAGAATTGTTGCGCTTCTTGTGGGTGGCAGTTCAGGCAGTCAATTCTGTCAAAAATTGAGTTAAGCTGAGATCGACAGAGAGAGATGGGTTTGAGCGCGGAATTGAAGATGTGTGAGAGTATATTGATCGTGTATTGAAGAATGCCCTAATGAATGACCACTGGACGAGTGTTATTCAGAGAATGTAGTAGTAGTCTGTTTCAGTTATCACTTAATGCCAATAATAACACCGGCATTTCCTGAGCAAAACTCTACGTTCAACGTCACGAAATCAACGCGACAGGTGATCATGAATGAACTTGAAGAAGGTGATCGATCGATTCAATGATTTTATTCATTACTGTTTTTGTTAGATTGATAAGGTTTAGTGATTGTATACAACGATTCCTCATCACCATCTTTTACTTGTTGTTGTTGTGTTAGGTTTGGCGATAACCCTGGAAATAATGGCTGGCAAAGCTGAGTGGTCAAAGCTGTTCGATGAGGTGAATTTCTTCTCGCGCTATCGACATTTCATTGTATTACTTTGCGTGGCTGCTAACGAGGTACGTAACTGATTACATTGATGCTTTTACTATTTACTCGATTATTGTTGACGTGATGTTGTTGGCAAATTTTGATGGATCGTTCCGAAGAGAGATTGGTTATTGCTTCTTGCAGAATGATCAGTTGGTGTGGAGTGGTTTGGTGGAGTCGAAAATTCGACATCTGATCGGAAGTTTGGAGAGGAATCCGTGTGTGAATCTGTGCCATATAAACCCGCAACACTATTCGCCAATTGAACCGTTACCGATCGAAGTGTCTTTAGAGTGAGTGTTTGAGAGTTTGAGCTTTGAGTTCATCTTATTTTATTAACATTTGAAGGAACGATTGAAATTTGGTGAGGTGTTGCAATTGGATGATTCGTTTGCTGCTTTTGCAGGAAACCATGTTGCCAGATGTGGTTCATTGGGCTGGAATTCAACAAGCAACTGAAGAAGAATATCGATTTGACCGAAGAAATACAACAGTTTACCGATGTGGTTATGCGAACTGCGGAATTCCAGAATGTTTACTGTCCTGGAATGGCGGTATGTTTCGCGTTTTGGTATTTATCAGCGTTTCTGTCGTATCTGCATAGAATTAGTTTTTCTCACTTTCATTTGGTCGCAACTTTTTTTTAACGGCTAGGAGCACATGTTTCACATGATGTCTTTCTGACAAATGCAATGCAGTGAATATTCATTGACGATTTGAATGCTGAAGGAGAAATACTTGTGTACGAACGAAAATAAAAGTGTTGTGAAATTTGCAGGTTCATCCGTCCTATGTGCGTCGTGCGGATTTGCATTTTTGGTTGTCTAGAAGCGAGCTGTCACGGGGTCGTGCGGCCACCCGAAAGAATCGAATAGTGAGTGCGCTGAACAATGCATCGCCATGCAGCACGCCGCCGTCCTCTCAGAACAACACCTCAACGAGCACGGGCACTCCACAAAACACTGCATGCCAGCAGAATCATGCATCCACTCCCCATCACCACCATAATCTGCACACACATCACCACCACCAACAACAACAGCAGCAAAACGACACCTCAACGACAGAAAGTAGTGACAGTCGTGCGTCATCAACCACTGGATCGTCATCAGCCTCGGCAGCAGCAGCCGCAGCACAATGCTCCATGGTACTGACTTCATCATGCTTTTCATTTGCGGCGAAATTCTTTTGTGTGCTGTCTTATGTCTGCTTAGCTTGTTTGCTTTCGCATTGAGATTGAATCTGATTCGAATTTGAGGAGATTTTTTATTCCGATTGATTGATTGGTTGAATTCATTGCAATTGATTGATTGCGTTCTATTCTATTCCGGTTCAATTCGATTAGATTATTTAGTAGTTTGGGTTTGTGCAACCAGCTGAGAATGGTGAGAAGATGATGGAAGAAGCCTAGGTGCATTCTGAATTTTGCAATCGGTTTGGTGTTGGTGGGTAGGTATTGATTAAGGTTTCTGAACTGCGATGACTGCATTGATTTGTTATCGATGCGAATAAAGTATGCAACCAAACATACGCGTGAAATTTACGAGGGGAAACACTCCGTGCATGAAATTCTTGTGTGCATTTTTGAGGTGTCGTGCTACAGCGCTGAATCGTTCTTCTGATCCGCATTCGTTTTCTGCACTTCGATGCAAGACTTTTGCAGCGATTCTGCCAATAACAACTCATTTGTGAATCTCTTCATTTTTTTGCACTGGCGTTCAGACTGCATTCAATCCGAGAGAATAGAGAAAATTGAAAGTGCTCAATTTTAAACATAAGTCTTTTTGCGTAGACTTTTATGTTTGTTTTTGTTGCTTTAGTTATGAAAAGGATAATATTTCATCAACGCATTCCACTTCTTTATACGTTATCCAATCCTTTAAATGATGTTTGAACTCAAACTAATGAATTTTACTGAAGACTTTTCGTAAAACAGTAATAGTATTGATGAATATTTGTTATTTTGAAATCGACAAATTTGAATGACGGGTCGAGTTGCTGTTGTGTGAATCGCATAGAGAATGATCTTCTTCTTCTTATTGTTCGTTTTGCTGCTCGTTCTGATAATTTGCGTGGATTTGAATAATGTGATCAGTCTTTCTGTTCTGTCCGAATTATAAATCGTCTAGTCAAGGTTATTTCTGATTGATTCTCTGATCTCACCCAATTGATCGCTCTCACTATGATCTCATTGCTCTAATGATGCTCTTTGTTCAACAATAATTTTGATACTGCCATTTGATGAAGGTTTTTTGTGATAATGAGCAACAATGTTTGCATGCTTTTGATGCTGCGATCAATCGTTGACTGAGTCGTTCATAGTCGTCGTCTCATCGCAATGATACTTTTCTAATTTTCTGAACGGATGGATAAATTACTTGCTGTAGTGCGGTGGTTAATTGAAATTTTTTAATAAACACATTAAAGATGAAGCTCTTCTTCTTTCATTTCATTTCGTTGATTTGATCAATTCATTTCGCGCATTTACTACGTATTATAATGTATACATGAAAAAGTTGATAGGATTTCTAGAAAATGTGCCTATATTTTCGTTATCCTAATAACACATTATTAAAAAGACATTTCGATTTCGTTGCTAAGATCTTGAGATTATTTGAGGAAAACGATGCAATTGTTTGCTGAAAAATGAGTGATTCGTTAGCGATAGACGAGTTTGTTGAGTGTTGTCGGGAATATGTGTGTACCTTACCGAATGACTAGTGATTTTTGATAGACAAATATCCAGAAAACGCTCAGTATTTACTCTATTAGATGGTAGAAAATGTTTTTGGTGTTTGTGACATTTTTTGTGGTAATTGAAGAATGAATACATTTGAAGGTCTGTTGAGAGATAGATGTGTCTATGGCGGCAGATGTTGAGGGCAAGAGAATTAATTTGTGTGCAATGAAATGAGTGAGTCAATGCGATGAAATGTGATTAAAATGTTTTCCGGATTTGCTTTCAGGATGCGGTCACGTCATCTGTATGCGATTCCAACGTATCGTCAAGCTCCACAAGCACATCACAAACGATCTTGAATGCAGCCGCCGATACTCTGAGTACAGTGGATGGTGGTGGTGGTGGTGGTGGTGCTGCTGCTGCTGCTGCTTCAGTGGGACTGATGGGCATGACAACGGCCATTAGTGCACCGAACGTTAATGAGATGATGCTAGTGCCAAACTCAAATAATCCACAAGGTTTGTTGCACTGCACTGCCTCGGCTTTGAATTGATTTTGCGTTCGTTTTGCTTTGAGTGAATCTTTTCGCTGCATTCAATTCTTCATTTCAATTGTTGTTGACACTCATCGCACTCGTCACTTATGTATTCCACTTTCAACTCATTGAATTCTATTTCATTGCTTGCACTTGATGCAATGAATTTGTGTTGTTCGTTTAGTGTACCTTATGTAAAATGTCGATTTCAATTTGCATTCATTAGGCACTGAATGAGAATAGACGCAGCAAAATTCTCATTTCAGATGTACTATCGAATGAACGAAATATTGTCACATCGACGACCACAGATAATAACGAGAGTGCATCAACACATCGTGCACGACCGTTAATACCGATCAGTGATATTCAGTTGAGCGGTGGAAGTCCGGACGATCGAAAATCATCAATTGTACGTTCGATTGTTGTTGTGATGATGATGAGCTGTTATTAGGGAAGAAAAAATTGTTCGTATCGATAGTGCAACAGTGTGTATTTGGGTGTTTGTCAGACATATTAGTGTTATTATTATTAGTAATATGAACGTGATTATTGTTGACATTTCCTTCAGCTGATTATTCTTGTTTGGATTTGTTTTTGTGATTTTGTGTGGTGAGGGAAATGCTGATTAGTCATTTATTGACTGAGTAAAATGTTCATTTCAGAATTCAACAACATCAACAACGCTCCTGCATAGTCGATCAACACCAAATCTTGAAGGTTGTGATATACGTTATCAATGGATTGATTAATACGTTTTTGTTTAAGAAGCGTTCTGAAGTTTTGAGAGGTGTTTTGACGAGAAAGCAACGATTGTTAATAGATTGAAGTTTCGACAGAACAAAATTAAACGTAGGAATGAAGTTTTTGAAAATCAAATAACGTGAGTGATGATTCTAATTTTGATTGGTTGATTTCATTTTTAGCCTCAGCAACGTGTGATCACCAGCCAGCAGAGCAATTGCCGGTTTCAAGTGTGAGTAAAGTGAATGCACGTCATCCGTCGAATGGAAGTTTGCCTGCTTGTATTGATAACTTACAGGTAATATAAGAGTTGAATTTATTCTCGCTTTTACTTCGAACTGTACAAATGATTGTCGACATCCGAATTTGTTGTGAATTATTGAATATTAGTGTATTCGAATGATATTAGTGTATTTGTTGTGTTGTGAATATTAGTGTATTCGAAGAGCACAATGAGTCGCATATTAGCGTTAGTGGCAAAGTGGTGTGTGTGTGTGTTATGTGCGGAAGGGAATGAGCTGATTTGTTTTAGGAGTCACGGAAAAGAACGCTTGACATGCGATGCCATTCGTTAGAGGGTGCGACTGGAGCAGCAGAAGGAGAGGAAGAGCCTCGAAGTCGCCCGAAACGATCGAATACAACCACCGATTCAGCGTTGCTGATGAACAATGAGGCGACAGCATCATCCACTGCTCAAAATGCATTTATGAAACGTGCTGATGTGAGTTGAAGGATCATTTTTCAACGAATTTTATATATTTATATTTGAGTTAGTCAATCGCAATCGAATATTGGATGAACGTTGTGAAATGGAAATCGTACAGAAGAAATGTCATTCGTCCGAAAAAGTTTCTGTTTCAATGTTAAGATATTGTTTTCAGACCTTCAATGGTGCGATGGCGTAGGATTGAAGAAGAAGTGGGGAATCTATTCACCGCTTGTCACGGTTGGCCGATAAATCTTATATACAAATACATAAATGTATTCCAAACATTGCTCACGCTTTTGACGAGTTCCGGTTGTTTTTGTTTTGTTTTCTTTTTTTACGCGAAAGTGAATGGACAGCAAAATAATGTGATATAGTCAAGTTCTAAAAGCAGAAAACGATCGGTCGCAATAACCGACTACACTGACTGATACTTGAGATTTGGATCGTATTGTATTTTACTCAACTTGTATTAATTAACACTGTGTGTTTTTTTGTTTTGTTTTGTGTTTTTATTTAATTTCTGAAACTATTGCATTAATTCACAGCGAATCACTATAATTCGTCACTATAATGATAGTGTGTGGTATGGAAATATTATCAGATGTTTTGTAGAGTTTGTGTTGTTATTCAATGATTATTTCTTCTTTGTTGTTATTGAGGAAAATTGTTGTTGTTCTGAAAAATGAAATAATCCACTAAAAAATTAACGCAAAAAAACCATTCGAAAAAGTGTCTTGTTCAAATCGATCTCCTCGAATTATCAATGTAATTGTGTTGGTTTTATTTCGTTCATTCGTTTGTTTCATTTATTTGTTTCATTTGCATATTCTAATCGTTTTCCATTTGAATGTCTCTTTTCTATTTACATCCGCATCGTTCGTTGCATTCTCTTCGTAATGCTGTCCTTGTGAATTTTTTTTTGTTCTCGTTTGTTTCCGTCTACAACAACAAAAAAAAAAGAGAAATGTTTCAAAAATTTCGATTTTCAACGCTTTGCTTCAATCAGCATTCATTATTCATTTATGCATTGATTCAGTTAAATTACGCTGTTGGTGTACAATTAATTCTTCATGCAAATATAGTCTTTTGTATTTTTGATGATTGTTTTCGATGGATTTACTGTGTATTGTATATATCTATATATTTTTTTGTGTTCCTGTTACTAAGCGATTCCAAACATTTCAAACTCTCTTCGCATTTTTACGCATTGAGTGTTGGCGTTTTAGCGAAAAAACACAGATTTTTTTTGGTTTTGAAACCATTTGGTTTTCGATCATGCTGACTAGCGTTGTTTGCGTTTTGTTCCCAAGTGGTTGTATGGAAATTCTCAGTTTACGCGATTTCTAATTGAGTGATTGAATGAGATTGAAAGGCAAATTGCGAGATGTTCAATGATTCGTCGTGATGAATTGAATCGTTAGCAGAAAATTGTTGGATTTAAGAATAAGGCTTTTTTATTGAGAAAATTTCCCCATTTTCTCATCTCATCTGATGGTATGTATGTATCTGTTTTGGATGATTAACATTCAGAAGCATATTTCTTTGCTTGCTTGAATATAATCTGTAAACACCGAAAAAAAGCGATAGCAATTGGGCAAATTTTTGACAGTACGATGCGCATAGTTTTCGTGTGTTAGACGTTATTGTTGATGACATTGAGAAAATTGTTTAAGTTATCCGTTGAAATTTGTTCGTTCGGGGATTGAAATTTTTGTGGATTGAAAAGGAAAAGATTTTAGCTGATCCCAGAAAAAATCTGAAAGCGAGTTTGTGTTGCGCAAAAATAGTGATAGCTTTATTATCGTAGCGAAGCATTTCGATGCTTGCAATTTGTGGGATTCCTCACGAAGCCAAGACCCATCCAGCCGTTTATTTGGGTTTCGTCTGTGTTTTTCTGATGATCATATGATCATGTCCGTGCTCACAGTTGTGCAGCATCAGCAATGAATAAGCTTATACTATCCTATCCTATCCTGTCCTATCCTATTATATCCTTTCCATTCCGGCAATATGATAACTTTATATTATGCTCGATATTTTTTTAAAAGAAAATTTCACGGTTGAATTCGGCCACAGTTAAGTGAGCAAGTTATTGAGCGAGTACTTTAACTGAGTGTTATTCTGTTGGATTGTTTCCTCATTATACCGCTTTTCGTACAACTTTGCTCTTTTCCAGTAATCATCTGAAGTGTTGAGGTGTTTATGTGCTTTGCTTTGTTCTAATGAAAATGAAAAATAGTGTTTTGATGAAAATCGCACGTTCAGATGTGTATGTATGTATTATATGTTGATTCCTCATTAAAATTTTATTATCATCAATATTATCGTTATTGTGTTAGTGTGTTACAATTGTGTCGATTATTTGAAATCTACGATTTTATGCTCGTTCATCTCGAGACTTAATCAAACCAGACTATAAAAGTTTATTGTGAGTTCGTTTNGTTTTATTTCTTCATTCATTTTACATTCTTCTTCATTTAATCGCGCATTATCGCAATGTTGTTGTGATTGGTCATTCATTGGTCGTCGTTGGATTTGTTTGTATGGTGAAAGAAGTTTGAGTTTGTTTGTTGACTTGCTGCTTTGATTTGTTAATTTCATTGCATTCAACAACACGATTACATTGTTCATATGTTACGTTGGTTGTATGTTTTCGCTCAGATTTTCTGCTGTTTGCAATTTGTCGGTCGATTCAACGATGCATCCATGTTGATCTTTTATCCTCGAACTTTGCTCTGGATATTTCAGTTAGATATGTGTATTCACATTGTGCTCACTTCCCTAGCAACTGCAGTCACATCGAAACGTTGACAATTGCGAAATGTTTGTGAATGTTCTGCGAATTTGTCTCTGATAGAGTTGGAATATTGGAATCGTTGCGCTCACATTACTAACTCGTTGTCTCTAGTTGTTGTGTCTGTGCATTCGTCACTTGGAAATTGAAGTGCAACACCTCAAAAACTTGTACGATGAATAATAGCCTGAAAAGAGAGTCATTGATGATTGGGATTTTTGTCAGAAAAAATTATTAGTTTCGTTTCTAATGGTCACAGTTGAGCACCTATGTAGCCAGTTATAAGAAGAAATTCTTGACGGTGACTTCACAGATCTTATGTTTAGGATTTTAAGTTCAGGAAGGTTTACAGTTTACACTACCTGATGATATGATCAGTTTAAAATCATCACATCCTTCAAAAAACCCATATTTTCAACAGTGTGCTTATCGAGATGGGAACATCTTGGGAGAATTTTGAATTTGTAATACTTTAACTGATGGTATAACGTAACATAACTATGATGGGCAGCGAATCATAGATTCCGAAGTGTAATCGATTGATATATTTGGCGTGACCCACTAGATAAGAGGATTGGGTCAAGGTGATCACATTAGGATAGGTATGAACAAACGAAACGTTTACGATTTATGCATAAGAAAGTTTGGAAACCTGAGGGAGCCGAGAAAGGTGTGTTCTTTCCTGTATGATTGACGTGAATAGTGAATTTATTTGAACTTCAAGCTTAACAGTTAATTTGTCGACTGTTTTCCTAAAAATTCTCGATGTTTATCTCATTCGTTTTTATTGTTCTCTATTCACGTTCCGTTTTCATTCGTTTCCTTTTCTTATTCGATATTCTTGCTCTTAATTTATTATTGTTTTCAAATGTACTTACTATTAGTTGTTTTAGGACTATCTATTCAACTCTATTGATTCCACTTAGGAAATGATGCAAAACACAAAATATTATTCAGAAATTATATTAAGTTTTATGTTCCGTTAGTGATGTCATTTAAATTGGCTCCTTCTTCTATTCATTTAGAAAGTTCACTAAGATGCGTGAGCGAAGAGTGACTATTCGCTAAGTTTTTGTTCATTTCTTTGCACCTTTCGAATGTATCTACATTATATTTTATTTTATCCAATAAAAATTTATTATCAAATTTGTTATGCGTTCGTACACATAAAGCGGGTATCTACTTTCATAGCGAGTACACGAATGAAACTATTATTCGGTTCATTGGAATTCTTCAATCGAAATATATGTGTGAATCGTTCATATGCTAGTAAAGTATCAACTTCATGTGGATATTCCTCAACGACAGCACTAACTATATGAGTTTTATGAATTTCACAATGACATTTTCAAAGCGGGACTGAATGTTGACGAAATTCGTTTACAGTTCTTGTTCCTCATTGAGTTGTCGCATGAAATGTCTCTTAAACGAGTACCTCTCAAGAGAAATTCATTTAGTGACAATTGTGTGATAAAGGTTTAACTGAAAGTTTGAATACACATTTTCTGCAATATCATGTGATCTCTGTTTAACGTCACCGCTTTTCCATTCATTTTCACCGAAGTATGGTAACAACTTAATAAAATCAAGCATCGAATATGTTGTTTATCAAACTGATGTCATCAAACTGACCTTATTCTGAAGCGCTGTTATTCTCACACCTGATTCCGGTGTAATTGAAATTATACGCGAGAGGGAGACGGAGCGAAGAACTCAACTTATAGCTTGCAAACAAAAGAATCCTTCTGTGCACGATCTACTGGTTGACTTCGAGCTGCTGATCGATTGCAGATGTATTTTCGAAATCTGCTGGATAACCGCTTATCATTTGGAATTCTGAAGTGCCTTCAGGGTTGGCAACCTCCATATCTCAATTTCAAAGCCAATGATCTATCAAT